ATTCGTTACCGTTACCAAAAAAATGTAACTTCGTTACCGTTACAGTTACCAAAGAAAAAAAGTAACGCAGTTACTAGTAAAGTTACCAAAAAAGTAACTCTATACTGGAATGCAGGGAATGGAAGTAACTTCATTACAAGTAACGAGTTACTTCCATTCCCTGCATTCCAGTATAGAGTTCAGTGGTACGTACACGAGCTTGTGCCTGTGTGTGTGCTACCGGTTGCGCCTATGCTGTGTGAATTCAGCATAACGCAATATGCCAATCAGATCTAAAGCTGGAAACACAATAGACACAGGCAATAGTCACAGGCAACAGGGAATAACGAGCCGTCCAATCAGAGCTCTGGGATATAATATCGAACTTATACCCCAAAACTCTGATTGGACGGCTCGTTATTCCCTGTTGCCTGTGCCTATTGCCTGTGTCTATTATGTTTCCAGCTTATAGGTCTGTTCTTTTTGGCTGAACTTTCGCACCAGTTCATCTTTCTTCCTTTTCTCTTCAGGAAGAAAGAAGAGGAAGAAAGATGAACTGGTGCACAAGTTCAGCCAAAAAGAACAGGCCTTATAAGTAAATCGAATAGTGATTACAAGCGACGAGAAGGTGCGAACGAGTCAAATTGTGACGACGAACGAAGCGAACGACGCGACATGTCAAGCGTGTTGCAAGGGGAGACGCTCGAGGAGCTCGAGGAAAGTTTAGCCGAGAAGATGAATGAAAGAATAGCAATCGAAGACGAATATAAAGAGCGATTGAAAAGGATCCATCTATCACAGATAAGACTAACTCAACTCGAAGAAGAACAGAAGAAGCGACCAGCCGCCCAAAGCTGGGAGACAGCGACAAAATTAGAATCAGCTCTCAGGAAAATAGAAGCAAAAATAACAGGCGGACATTATATATCGCGAGTGATGCCACTAAAGCTCGCGGATCAAACAATTGGAAACGTAGCCATCACGGTACAACTGCACGATTGCGCTCGTCAGACATTAAAGAGCGAGGCGCTTGGAATGTCATTTCAATACAAGGACGACCAGATTTCAGACACGACACTGTGGATGAAAGACGAAATAACGGAAGAGCCGGACGTAGTATCAACTGTCGCGGAAACCTGCGTACCGGATACACCAAATGTAATTACCGAAAGAGAACGGAGTACGAACAATGACGTCGACAACGATGCAAAAATTAGCGAACAGAGGGGCAATACGCCACCGCCACGCTAAGAGGCAACGAATCGCGAGGAGCGATAACAAAGGTCAGATGAAGACGGAACGGAAGAGCGCGAAATGACAGCGAATTTCGCCGACATCGAGAGAATTATATTTAGCGATTACGATTTGAAAATGCTCTTCCAGCACGTCACACGAACAAGCACGAGGAAGACGGACAATTTCAAGCAGGAAGGAATATGAGAAGCAGAAATAGCGCCAGGCGCGAAAATTTGTTTAGAACCAAAAGGCCGTCAGGGAGGCGAGGAGATCGCACCGGAGGACAACCAGGCCGACACGAAGTTCGAAGTTAATGATAACACACCGTTGGCAAAAGAGACACAACGAAAGGCAAAACGACGACGAGCAGAGGATGTCGCCCGAATCAGCCGTGAGAAAAGACGAAAGTGCAAAGAATGTCCAGCCGAGCAGAAATTGCGAAGGAGCCAACCGAGGACGAAAGGACGTTTCGCGCGGAATCCAGTGCAGAACTGAGACGGAGGAGCGAGTAGCAACAGCTAATCCGGAGAAACAGAAAGGTCGCACCAACCGCAAAGCGAATAATACGACCTTTGGGAGGCGCATGAAGCCGGAGCCAAGGGTTCAGCTTCATCTCCGTACCGGCTGTAGCGGTACCAAAGGTACAAAATATGGGAGGATCCCGTTTGCCTACAGTTCTGATTGTACACACCACTCATATCAACTGGTGCCTAGTAATTTTTTACTGTTTTGCCAATGAGATTATTTTATTTTTAAATTGGCCAATCGGCGATACATGTGTGCAATATGCGATGTGTGCGATCGGAGCCCTCCCCAAAATATATTATAGGCGACAATAGTTAAGGTTAATTTGGTTGTTATAAGCACAAGCAGAGGCGCATTATATAGTTTAAACTAGTAGTAGCATGAGAAAATTATATTGGAAAAACAAATAAAAATAGAGAGCAGAATAAATAAATAGAGTCACTAGAATAAGAAGTAGAATTAAGAATATTATTAGGATATTAGTTAGTATACTAACTATTAATTTTTTCTTTTCTTTTTCTATTATTTTTCTTTGGCAATGATAATGATTAGTAACTTAATTATTTAATAATTTGGTGACTTAGGGGTGAAATTTGGTCAGGTAGAAATCAGGGCCGAGTTAGGCATGCCGGATTTGACGTTCGGCCCTGATTCGGCTATCCAAACCAAGCCTGATAAGGGATGTAACGCGTTTTTATGATTTGGGCCTGATCATGTATGCTGTATCTGGTACTGATGCGGTAAAAATAAGGTTCTAATGTGGTACTGATACGGTAAAAATAAGGGTCTGATCTGGTACTAATACGGCAAGAATTAAGGTCTGATTTGGTACTGATATGGCAAGAATAAGATAAGAATTCTGATCGATTACGTTGCAAATCCATGTGTGTAATATATAAAGTGCCTCAATTTATATATATGATTTAGCTTTCCATGTAAAAATAATACTATATTACGCTATATTTAAATGTGTAAATCCATTCTTGTACACAGCATAGTGTTATTTTTACACGAAAAACGAAATCATATACATATATTGAGACACTTATTTTACACACTTGAATTTGCACTGTATACAGTGCAAAAAATATATAAAATATATATTTTATCTTTATTTTTATTTATAACATTTATAACATTTTAAACATTTATAACATTTATTACAACATAACATTTATAACATTTATAACATTTATAACATTTATGTTATAACATTTATAACATTTATTTATTTATAACATTTTTTAAATATATTCTATTAATATTAATTAAA